TGTTTGTTATTAAAACTATTTTTCCAATCTTACGAGAACTTAACACGTTCTTGAAGTCTTCTAACTGTCGTTATGCCTTTTCTCTATTTCTTATATCTCGCTATTCAACCTAAGATCTTGTAGCATTATATTTATTCTGGCAGTTATTCGTTACATTCTCTGAACTAACATAAAACGAGAAAAAACAAGAAATTGATTTTAATCTGTCAATTTTTATGGCAGCTATATGCAATAGTGACTCCATTTCAACAATTTCTTTGGAATGTATGACAGCTATATGCTATAGTGGTCCGATCTGAAGAACTCCTTCGGAGATTTAGGTAACGTGTGGAAAATTTCGGTTTTGTATCTCAAAAACTTAGAGACTAGTTCACTTATATACAAGCAGACGGTCCGACAGACATTTCTAAATTGATCCAGCTCATGATGCTGATCATTAATGGTATATGGTATACGAGTTTTATATGGTCTCCGACTTCTTAGCAAACTTAATATACTCAGTTCAGTGTATAAAGAAGAGTATAAACATATATTATATGTTGCTTTTAGAAAATGAATATAATAATCTAATTATAAGCTAAATTATTTCGATTTTTCTTCTTCTTGCTAAAAAGCCTTTCTGAACAATTACAGATCCCTCAAGAGAGCTTATAATATTTTTGACTTTAACCCTAAAATGAAAGTGATATTAGACGACTATTTTTCTCATTGTCAGAATCTTCTCCCAACTTATCGCAAAATAATCAAAACTGGAGTTTTTCTATACACAAATTTCAAGATACGCAGCAGCAGGCAGGATTTGCCACAAATTTTCCGCACTACGCTGCAACAAGTTGTTTCATACTCTCAATCTTAGCTGGAGTCCAACCACTTTGTAGTCGCTTCATTTTATGGCTGTTTTGTATTTCCAGCTAAGACCTTGGCAAATTCATTTTTATTAATCCACTTTCACTTTAACTCATTTACATACTTCATTATTTTCGTTCTTGTTGTTGTACATATGTTTTGTCTTTCTTATTTGGTTCTTCACTGCTTTTTGCTTTTGTAGTTATTTGCTTATGCTGCTTTGCTTTGGTGAAAAGTTAATCCACGTTATTATTTAAGTTGCTGGCAGCTCGGTAGCGCGGTTGACTATGTCACTTGTGGTGGTGGTATGGTGATGGCGTTTAATGTCCTTCTGTATGCTGTGTAATTGTTGTTGTAGTTGTGTTGTCAACTTGACAACTCATCCCGCTTTGTCGGCGCCACTTGTTTGTCAATTCTTCTACATTTTTTTTCTATTTATTTGTGTTCTTGTTGTTTGCGCCCACTGTCATTTACGCCAGCCTAAGCGCAATATGTTCGAGCATTTAGCAGATTAAACTAAAAGCACGCATACATACATGGATATATATTTTAATACACACAATATAGGGTAGAAACATGTCATGGCAATTGCTCTATATCAATTGTCATCAGCCAACGACGGAAGCGTATCGCCTTTAGCTCGACTAAAAACCTATCTCCGCTGTCATATCTAAGCTCTTGATTGCTCTTAGTTTTACTACTCCGCACACACAGCCATACTTACATAAATACACCAACCCCTTACCACTATTCTCAGAAATATACCACATTTTTACATGCTACTTCAACCACGCTGTAGTACTTAAAGTAGTTATAGACCACCTTGCAACTAGTACGAAGTCCCATTAGACGACGTACTAACTTTTTTTTATCTAAGCGTTCACGCTAGATTTTCATTTTAGATAACGATTCAGTCAGTCAACCACACCTAGCTCATTTATGGTTTAACCCGCTAGTTTGGGTTTAAAAAACTTGAAAATAAGAAAGAATTGCCACTTTCGATTCACCCTTTTCCTGCTCGCTAAATTTGAGCTTGAGAGAGTATATGAATACTTCATTGAAGTGATATAACCGTTTGCTATTTTTTCTTTTTGATTTATATGAGTATTTTTCGATGTGTCACTCAACAAGGTTTGGCGAGTCGAAGAAGAATATTAATTAGCTTTTAATTAAGCTACGAGTTAGCGATTAGAGCTAGTTTACAAAAGAATAAATTTCTAAAAGTATTGAAGCTAAGTCTCTCAATAGCTCGAAAGTATATAAAACTAAAAAAAATCCTTACCGAACTCGAAAATATTTAGAAAAACTCCGAACTCAAATGAAGCAGAAGATATCCTAAAGCAAGAAGAACGTTGACGGAGATCTTAGTAACTACCAAAAAAATATATATGTAAAATTTCCTATCTTTCTAGCAATTTGTGAATTCCATTCCAAAACAACGGCCAAGAATGAATCAAGCCAATTTTTTGATATATTTTCCTGATGAGAACCGTATTCAAGTGTGGGTGTTCTGAAACGACCGGAATAAATGTTGATCAAAAGAGACAAGTTCTGGGCTATAAGCTGGTTGAGGCAAAACTTGGCAACCGCTGTTTTGCAGGCTTGCAACATGAGGCCGAGCGTTGTCATGATGGCAAATTATTGACTCGTCTAGTCGCAAATTCCGCAGACGTTTTCGGCAATCACTCGCTTCAAGTTGTTGACTTTTTGTCGGTAGCGTTCCCCATAAATGGTTTCACACGGTTATAGAAGCTTATAATACAGCACGTCCTTATCATTGAAGTGAAACTTATAGAAAAACGTTTTTATAATTGGTTTTTTCCGGACTAGTTAATTTTCAGGCTGTTAATTCTAGTTTATATATACAAGTATAAATAGGTATTTATGTAGTTATGTATGTCGTTTTCTAGCTTATCCTTTTACTACAGCTTGATGCTCTTGAAGCTTAATGCTCTTATGAGCTTATTTCTCTATTTTTTACTTGGAGTTCTCCGTCAATTATCTACCACTTCGATGCCATGATCATAATCTAAAAAAATATATAATCTTTCAAGCTATATACTTGCACAAACATATGTACATTTATATATAGAATTTTACTGCTTGCTTAATAATAAATATTATTAAAGATAGTTCTTAATAAATTCAATATCGTTAGCAATAATCTTAGCAAACTTTTTCTTTGGAGAATTTGTAAAGATACTTAAAAACACACTCAATAAACTATGGACGCTAGTTTTCCACGATTGAATTTCTTATACTTTTCAGCATCCTGCTATTTGTAAAAACTTTTCGTCTCATGAAAATTGCTTCAAAGTCAGTGAAATTCTAATGAGATGATAAATTATTCGTTATCTTCTTAGTTTTAGTCTCTTAAAATATATATGATTATAAAAAGCCACTTAGCCAAAATATAATTGTCAAACATATGTGATTTTAATATGCTGCAAACTTGTCTAATATCGAACAAATATAGGGTTTACTTCTAAATTATTATGAATGCCGAGTCCGTTGGCAGAATTTTATCAAACAATATTTGTAGAGAAATTTCGACAAGCGTTCAGCTTTCCAACGACACCTCACTCATCGAAATCGGTTCAAAATTGACCTAGTTATTTGTGTTTTTGTTCCGGCTATACCTCTACTGCATGGTTATGGGCGCCTGGTACAATAGATGAATTTACGACGATCTTTACACTACAGATTATTTCTTGGTGACCGACAACGCCAACTATCTATCTGCACGGAAAGAATTGCATGTAAATGTTATTTTCCCATAACTTTTTACAGATTTTGATAACAGAAGAAGTGTAATTTTTAGAGACAGGTAAAATAATAAATATATCCTATATATTTTTATACTCTCGCAACCTGTTGCTACAGAGTATAATAGTTTTGTTCACCTAACGGTTGTTTGTATCACCTAAAATTAATCGAGTTAGATATAGGGTTATATATATATAAATGATCAGGATGAAGAGACGAGTTGAAATCCGGGTGACTGTCTGTCCGTCCGTCCGTCTGTCCGTCCGTCTGTCCGTCTGTCCGTCCGTCCGTGCAAGCTCTAACTTGAGTAAAAATTGAGATATCTTTATGAAACTTGGTAGACATGTTTCATGGTACCGTGAGACGGTTGGTATTGCAGATGGGCGTAATCGGACCACTGCCACGCCCACAAAACGCCATTAATCAAAAACAAATAACTTGCCATAACTAAGCTCCGCAATAAGATACAAGACTGTTATTTGGTACACAGGATCACATTAGGGAGGGGCATCTGCAGTTAAAATTTTTTTTTAAAAAGTGGGCGTGGTCCCGCCTCTAATAGGTTTAATGTGCATATCTCCTAAACCGCTAATGCTATAATAACAAAATTCATTGGAAGCAAATGTTTTTAGCACTTCTATTGACGGTGTGAAAATAGTTGAAATCGGGTGGCAACTCCGCCCACTCCCCATATAACGGTACTGTTAAAAACTACTAAAAGCGCGATAAATCAAGCACTAAACACGCCAGAGACATTAAATTTTATCTCTGAGATGGTATAAGATGACTTTATAGGAACCGCGTTCAAAATTAGACAGTGGGCGTGGCACAGCCCACTTTTAGGTGAAAACCCATATCTTGAGATCTGCTTAACCGATTTCAACCAAATTTGGTGCATAACGTTCTTTTCATGTTTCTATGTCATAGTGCGAAAATGGGCGAAATCGGATTACAACCACGCCTATTTTCCATATGACACCATTTTAAATACCACTTGATTCTTTCACTTTCCACTATGCAAATCAAGCAACAATGATTATATCGGCGTAAAACTTTGCGTGAATAATACGTTTAAAGTATGCCACCTTGTGACCAAAAATTTTCTAAATCGAACCAAAACTGTTCAAGCCCCTAAGTACTAAATATGTGGACCCCAGTGCCTATAGTTGACCTTCTACCGAAAATATCAGTCAATCCACAAAGAAATCTCAAACGAGTATACCATTTGACTTTGCGAGAGTATAAAATGTTCGGTTACATCCGAACTTAGCCCTTCCTTACTTGTTTTATTTAAATATCTTTAATTATGTATATACATAAATTCTTAACGGATTAGCTAAGAGATTTATGTATATTATATACGATATATGCATTTACTTATTTTTCAGCTTTACATTAGCCTTCAAAGAGAACCTCACTTGGAACGTCTTCAGGCCTATCAAAATACGAGCTTTGCACCATGGTATAAAAATCGGTAATGTATAAATCTTCAATAGTGTATAGCACGATATAAAACGAACATATTTTTATTAATTGTTTTTCAGTTGTCTGTAAAATGATGTCTTACTAGCTTCTACTGCAGTTTTATCGGAAATAGTCGAGTATTGAAAACTCAGCTGCAATAATAATATTATAATAATAATAACCGCCCAACCGACGCGAGGTGCGCAATCGGCATACGTGCGGAATTAGCCGAGTCAGAAAAAACAAGAGAGTTTTTTAAGTGTTGAGATCTAAAACTGCTCAGCTACAGAAACAAAAATTTTCAACAGCTAAGATTTATAGTTACGATTTATTAAATTGTTACATTTTCATTTATTAAGAAAAACAATTTTGAAAAAAAAGTCAGATAAGTCAAATGTGCTCGAATGAGAATTAAAATCATGATATATATGGCGGAATGGTTCGTTTAGTTCGAAATTTTATATACAGGATTTTAACAGTAAAAGTCTAAACTGCCTCGAAAAGCGAAACGGAATATTAAAACTAATTTCAGACAGGAAAAAAAAACTGCAAACTATTCCATTCAAAATTTTCACTAAGAATATTATGCCAAACATTTCCCTACGACTAGAAAGTGTATTTAGATTTATAAATTTTAAACGACTAGTGTATGGAGGTAGACTTACCCTAGAATCTCATCGGAAATGCCTTAAGGCGAAATAAACAAATAACGTTTTATTAAAAAGGAGACAATTCATACAATATGAGTATGAGCTATATATTTTTAATTTTCAGATAATTATAGTAATTATTATTATTATTGTGTTCTAAAATACAAAATTAGTATTTTTTCCACCAATATTATATGATATACTAGATATATAAATAGCGACTAAATGCTATAAACAACTGTTGAGTTGCGAAATTTCTTTTTCATGAATATGTGGATTTTATAGTTATAAAGTGGATGCAGTTTTATTAAGTTATTGTGACAGTACAGATTTCCAACTAATTTGGTGTCAAAACACTGCAAACTAGTTTAATAAATGGCTAAAACATGGCTTGGTGCAACGTTTCTACAAATAACGCTTCCGCATGTTACAGAATTTTGTAACAAAAATTGTGAAATCAAAATCTATAAGCGATAAGCTGTCCAGCGACACCTCATTCTTTAAAATCGGTTCAGAAGAAACGGAGTTATACGAGTTTCTAGTTCAGCAACACACCTACTGCATGGTTATGGGCGCCTAGTACTTCAAATGAATCTCCTACAATTAATTTTTCCGTGACGCACAACGCCACCTGTGTGCGACATTTGACACGGACTATCATACTGCACGCACACACTTCCGCTTATTGCAGCGCCTCGCGGGTATGCAACATATTTCGCCGCGCCGATCCTGCATTTTTAATTTCCGACATCGCGCTGCTGCCAATGCTGGGCGCCTGGTGCATATGTGGGATTTCGCTAGAAGTGCCGAGCACAATTTTTCCGTGCGATAAAAATTATCTCAGGGAAGAAATAAAATAAAATCGCATGCGTGCAAAAATGCGTGTCAACACAGCTACAACAACAGCATACGCTGGATTTAGCGCAAGGGAGAAATAAAAAATATCGCATGCTAGACATTTTATCCGTTTCGTTAATTTAACATAACTTTTACGCCGCTCAACCGATTTACACGATCTTGGTGTCAAATTAAAGAAAATTTAACGACGGCTTTATTGCAGTTGCTGTAAAAAAAATTTCTTGGAAATAAAAACACAGTTTATGTAATTTTTTTGTTACTATATTTTTTATTTTTGGAATTACGATTTTTATTTGTAATATTTAAATTTTTCAATCTTTGTTTTATGCATGTATGCACATTATCGTTGTTGTTGCTGTTGTAGTGATAGCTCTTCACTTAAATTTATTTACGCTTTTAACTTAACTGTTAACTAAATTTAAATATATTTATATTTATATATACTATATATATATATATATATTCATTTATACGTGTATGCATGTATATATAAATTGTTTTAAAGCGAGGATTACAGATTTTCGTTAGAATTAATGGGGGAGAGACTTAAAATTTTCAAGAAAACAAACAAACAGTGCAACATTTTTGTGCTTTTGCGAAACTAGCGGTGAGTATAAACGGAGCGAGTGACAGGGAAGAATTAAATTAAATATAATTAAATTAGCTATACAAATACATATGTGCAAGATTTAAGGACTGGTGCGTATAGCATACGCTCGATGATATTAACAACAATTGGAAATACTTTATATTTTAAATTTTTTCTTTGTTTCTGTTTACACATATCCACTATTTTTACTAGTTGTACATATATGTACTATAAATGTATGTATGTATATTTATATATATCGCATATTATAGTTTACTTGTGTAAATATTTAAGGCGACCAACGGCTTAGTCTGCAGTTTTTTTGTTTGTTTAACGCACGAGTTTCGTGAAATATAATAATTTTTTCTTTGCTTCTGCTTCTTGCTGCTTCAATAATTTGCTTTTTCAATATTTTATTAATTAGCAATTTTTGTTCTGCTTCGCTTCTTTGCGACTTTTTCAATTATTACCAAAAAAATATTCTCATTTTGTTGTTGTTTTACTTTAATGTGCTATTTGGACATTTGCATTATGTATGTATGTATGTATATGGGCGGATGAAGGAACACATATGAATGCATTACAATATATATATGTATATATTTTTTCGTTTTCTCTTTTTCAATGAAAAATAAAATAAAATTCGTTGTTTTTGGTCGTGTGTAAATTATAGTTAAAAGTAAAAAAAAAAAGTCTTTGTGAGCAAAAATAATGCGTTTCGACGTGATGTGACTTGTAGTAGCGCAAATTTACAGTTAATATGCATGCGCACTTAATAACAAAAACGAAAATAGCATATTGACGTTATAAATACAAATTACAGTTAGACATAAATGTATGCTTATTTTAAAAATTTACGCTATAAACTTAAAGCTAGACAAAAATATTTATAAACATATTTCTATATAAATACTTAGAGCAAAAGAAATTATAGCAAATGTAGTTGTAAAGAGCGAAAAACATTGAACTAAAGAATTTAAGGGCACTGCAAAAATATATATATTTTATATTTATTTATTTATTAGATCTTATTTTTATTTTTTTTTTAATTCATTTATTTATTATTATTTTATTTTTCTTTTATTTATTATTATTTTTCTTTTATTTATTATTATTTTTCTTTTTATTATTATTTTTCTTTTTATATTTTATTTATATTATTTTTTTTTTTAATTTTTATAAACAACGAAAATGACAGTTTTTTTTCGCTTGCTTTGCACGTGGGCGTGTTCAGTCACGCTTTTGCAGTAAATGCAGAGAAAAAAAAAATTATTTAAACAATAGTTGAAAAGGAACTCTGAAACTCTACATTTCTAAATGTCTGACCTTGCTGTGTGAAATACTTTTTTCCGAAAATTCAACTTTTTTCAGAAAACTCAGATTTTTTTATAGAAAATTCAGAATATTTTTACCGAACATTTAGCTATTTTTATTAAATTTTTGTTGTAAAGCTTTTTCTTTAAATCATTTCTTATATACCTTTTCGTTTTCGCCTTTTAAAACAAAAATTTTAGTTTCTTTTTTTTAAATGTTACAATTTTAAATATTTCTTCAATTCTGTTGCATTTAAATTAATTAAAGAAGGTAACGAGCGCTAAATATTAAGCAAATGGTTAGACATATTATAAAAAAATATAATCGAATCTAGAAACTAATTTAAACTGTAGAAAATCTTTGTAAAATATTCTTATGTATTTAGCAAATAAATGCATTATTTAACAAAAAAAAAAAAGTTATCAAAAAAAAATTAGCAAAAAAAAAATCAATCTTATAATAAAAAAAATATTTAATAAAAAAAAATTATCTTATAAAAAAAATTAATAAATGTGTTTTATTACACGTTGTTTTAATTTACTTTTTAAGCACTCGTTTGGGGCAAGAATATTTGCGAATTCACATAATTATTAATTAATTTTTGTAAATAAATGTTTTTTTAATTTTACTTTAATTTTTTTTGTATTTAAAATTTTTTTTTATATTTATTTAAATTTTTTTTCTTTAAATTCTGTTTTATTTGAATTTTTTTAAATTTGTTTTAAATTTTATTTAAATTTTCTTATGCAGTGCAAAGCAAGCGATAAGGTTGTTCGAGGCGTTTAGTCAAATGATTTTACAAAGTGAAATGAGCGCAATGTTAATTAAATGCATATATGAATAAATAAAACAAAAAAAAAAACAAAAAACAAAACAAAAAGATAATAAAAAAAAAACAAAAAAAAAATAACAAAAATATAATAAAAAAAAACAAAAAAAAAATAACAAAAATATAATAAAAAAAAAACAAAAAAAAAATAAAAAAAACCAAAAAAAAATTTTTTAAATTTACTTTTGCCTCAATTATTTGCAATAATTTGTTTACATAACGTTGCCATTTCGCTGTCACTTAATTTTTTTTTATCATTTATATATCATTTATTTTGCTTCTTCTAAACAAACTCTTTGCAATACAAGCACACTATATCACACATAAATGCATACATTGCTTATATAAGACTCTGCTAAGCATACATACCATATACCATCTAGGCATGCGTGTGTTGGTGTGTTTCACTATATATATACTTTTATATTTCTATAGTTACAATGATAATTAGCAATAATACAATAAATATGTATGCGTTTCATTACATTTTCATTATTTTTTAAATAAGTTTTGCATTTTCATTTAACTGTTTGCTCTTGCTGTTAATGAGATACTGATAATGGTAATGTTAATGTTATGTTATGTTAATGTCAATTTAATGTCGATGATACAAAACTAATTTACACATATATGTATATATATTTTTAATAATAAATACTATCGTACGGCTTCACGCAGCAGCAAAAGTTGAAACAAACATACAAAAAAAAAACAAAAAAACATAAACAATTATCATTATTTTAGTGTAATTTATTTTTAACATTAAATGGTAGCTGTTCATTTTAAAACTAGTTGTTAAGTTAGTTTATAGTTCTATAATTTATGTATATATATGTGCTTATATATAGAAGTAACGAGTTGCTTGAGTGCTGAGAGGCTTTTGTGATTTTCAATAATGTTTTTTTTATTGTTTTGTTTGCTTGGTTTTTGTTTTTGGTTTTCATAAGTGGCTATGTATATGTGTAGCTGCGCGCGCTAGCATTT